TGGCAAGTTGAAGGTTGTAGGTTTCACAATTCTTTGATGGGTGAGATGTCATTGCTCACTGATCACCAGTGTAGTAGAGGTCAAATCCCTTCTCAAACTTTACAGATCTTAAAAGAGCATAGTGGTGAAGTCTGGTTCTTGCAGTTTTCCTATGATGGAAAGTACTTAGCGTCATCATCTGTGGATTGCTCTGTTATTATTTAAGTGGTCAAACAAGATTGTCAAGTCTCTTTAAAGCACCGACTTAATGGTCACCAACAACCTGTATGTTGTGTTTCATGGAATCCCGATAACACTCAGATCCTAACCTGTGGGGTGGTCGAAGCTGTTCGCCGATGGGATGTGGCATCTGGGGTATGTGTCCATGTTTATGACAAAGCAGGTCTTGGTTTGATCTCTTGTGGATGGGCTTCTGATGGTAACAGTATATTCACTGGTGTTTCTGACAAAAGCATTGCCATGTGGGGTTTAGACGGTAAGGAGTTGGAATGTTGGAAAGGGCGAAGGACTACTAGGTTATCAGACATTGGGGTCACTTCTGATGGGAAACAGATTTGTTTCTGTATGTAAAGAGAACAAGATAGTCATGTTTGGGTGGGAGTGAAAAGATGAGAGATTTCTTGTGGAGGATCAAACCATAACATCGTTTGTATTGTCAAGAGACAATAAGAACATTCTGGTTAGTCTACTCAACCAAGAGATTCATCTTTGGGATATAGATGAGAGTATGAAGTGTGTAGCCAAATATAAGGGTCACAAGCGCACCCGTTTTGTTGTGAGGTCTTGTTTTGGTGGACTCAATCAAGCATTCATTGCTAGTGGAAGTGAGGATTCACAGGTTTATATATGGCATAGACGGTCTGGGGAGCTCGTTGGGACATTGGGAGGACATTCTGGAATAGTGAACTGCGTGAGCTGGAATCCAGTGAACCCTCATATGCTGGCATCTGCAAGTGATGACCATACCATTCGCGTGTGGGGATTGAATAAGGTAAACATGATGAAGCGTAGTAGCAATAACAACAACGAAGATTCTAATGATGATGATAATAATAATAATAATAATAATAATAATAATAATAATAATAATAATAATAATAATAATGACAGTGTTAGCAATGGGATCCAATATTGCAATGGTGAAACCTCTACCCATTGATATCAGGTGCTTATGTTTGCTGTTATTCATACCAAAAGGTTTCTTTTATAAACCCATTCGTGTTTATGTATATTCTTTTAACATCCATGTCATGCTGACATCTTATGTCAAACGAGACTGAAGAATGTGAAAATCTGTTTTCATTTTCAGCAAGGATAAACCTGTACAATTATTGTTTCTCAGTTATAAAAAAAACTACAAATTCTACAATATGAATAATGTACTAATTCTACGATATGAATAATGTACTAAATCCTATTAGTTCAAAAAGAATCACATGATAACTCATAAACCAAACTAGTTCAAACTAAACAAGTTAAAACAGAAAAATCGAACACAAAAGAGGACAGCCTAAATGACGAGCAATTGCACTGTTGGAGAAGCAGCCTGCCCTCGCAATTGTTGATGGATTACTTGTGATTTGCTCTCATCAAATTTTGAAGTACGCTGTGATTCTTGACACCAACTGAGCTCTTGGTAACCTTTACTCTTATTAAATATTGCAGTATACCGAGAATCCCTTCTTAAAACCATCCTCTCGAGAGCCAAAGCACTTTTCAGGATATACAATACCACAGACATCTCATTCTCAAAACCATTGAACCCACCAAATTCTACTTCTTTTAGATGAAGATGACTTCTGGGAGATAGACTCCTTGCACCAAGTGGCCTGGGTGGTGTTCTTCTCTCCCTTCCCACCAAATGCATTATCTGAAGCAGTGGACAGTGGATGATTAAATCAGCAATCTGGGTCACATCAAACAAGTCATTGAACTCCATTCGTGTGTCAAGCTGCCTCAAACGGCTAAATGTGGGCACCTTAAGCGGCAAACCATATGCCACATGGCTTGTGCGCGACCATGACTCAACACAAAAAGATTCAACCTGAGAACAATCCTGTGCTACCCAGCTAATGATGTGAAGCAAATGACCATTGTATACTACCTCCAAGCTGACATGTTGGAGCTTGGGGAGATGAGAAGGATGAGAGAACTTCAATGCTAAATCACTATATAAACCAAGTTTCAAGGTCAGAAGGTTTTCAGCACACAAATATATCTCCTCCACCTCCTTCCCATTACACTTGAAAATGGTTAATGACTTCAACTCTAGATGTTTTCCTTCCACAACGAATTCATTAGAAGAAAGACAGCAATACTCCAACGATAGAGACTCAAGTTTCGGGCATGATGACAATATGGTCTGCACGTCAACTGAATCGATGAAAATCAACTCTATGGATTTTAGATACTTGAACGGTTGTTGGGGATTGAAGGGTTCTAATTCCATATTGCTTGCGGTCAAATGCAGAAACGTGAGCCTACATGTTGCTGCTTTGCACACAAGCTTCTGAAGCGGGACTGTGATCTTTTCCCCTTGATAACACAACTTCAGCGTAAGCTCTTCCACACCCAATCCAGCAAGGTGATGCACCCATCGCTCAATGTGGCATGTGAAATCTGTCTTAACACAGAATGACAGCCTGAAAGATTTGATCTTTTCACAGCCAGCTCTTCTATGGATTTGAAAAAACCTATCCATGACAGTCAGAATCTTGTACTCAGCAGTACAACTACACAGGCAAAAAGGAAACATCACCACACATGGGCAGCCAAAAGAATAACTAGGCAGAAAAAGATAGAGGTTTCTCCACCGACTACACAATAAGCTAGTCCTAACCGCATCTTTTGTATCCAGTCGTGAGAGGATGGAGCACAGAATTTCATTTGTCAATGCACTTATTCGGTCCTCCACCTCCTTCTTAACCTCCTCCTTAACCTTCTTCTTAACCTCCTCCTTAACCTCCTTCTTAGCCTCCTCCTTAGCCTCCTCCTTAGCCTCCTTCTTAGCCTCCTCCTTAGGCTCCTCCTTAGCCTCCTCCTTAGCCTCCTCCTTATGCAGGCGTAGATATGAAGAAACTGCAGTTCCAATTCCAAGTCTCAATCCTGTGAAGACCATTAGAGGGAAAACAAACCCAAGCTGCGGGAACCATATTCCAAACTTATCGCTATAACTTGTCGGCATGATACTGTTTTTTTTTTTAAATTTGTGAGATCAAGAAAACGTAAATAATACCGAGTAATATCTTGATCTCAAAAACAAAAAAAAAATATACGGAGTAACATCTATATATCCGCTGCAGGCAGAGGAGGTTAAAGCTGGAGCCGAAGTAAGATAGAAGTTCTTCTGCGGGTAAATAAAAACTAAAAAGAAAGCAAACATAAAAAAAATTCCTTATACGATGCCGGCCATGGGAAATTTACCTACACAAGTGTGCAGGGCCCCTAAATTTGGGAGCCTCTAAATTTTAAAACAAGCCCATTAGTATATACTTAATCTATGTTTTACTGTTTTCGGTTACAGACCAAATCGGACTAAATTTAAACAAATCAGACCAGATTATATCAGACTTAAACAGATTAGACTTGACTTCCGATATTATAAAATATACAGAGACTATACGTTTCCTAAACCAGATCAGACTTAAACAGAGACAAGATGAGCAAATTACAAGTTCCAAATTACAAGACTTAAACGGTTAAACCTATCTTGGTTTTCTCCCAAGTCTCGTCGGCGCACATCACGGTTGTTGGTTTGGGTGGTTTGATGGGTATTCAATTTCATCTGCTCCACTTCTTCTATACCTGAAAATAATGTTACACATGATCATCTTCAATTGTGGAAGAAGAGGAGTAGATGAATTTATAACTATCAATTTCATCTATTTAAGAACGGTGCCAATTTTTTTTAGTATATATATAGCATATGGAATATGTATGGATCAAGTTTGACCAGCACAGTAATTAATAAAGTAAAAACTGTGTGATTGAGTATCGTGTAGAAGAGAGAGGATCAACTGAAACCATAAATTTTTTACTTAATACTGGAAGTGACAAAGTTAGTGACACAATAGAATCAACTGGAACCACAAATTTTTAATTAAAAGTGAAAGTGACAAAGTTAGTAACACAACCAAAAAAGAAAAGTTGATAAAGTTTTAAAGGACATTGGGCTTATATGAGACTATTGTAAGAAGACTGCTAAAATGTTGGATTATTAGTTTCCATTTTCCCTAATAAGAAAACATAATGTTGGAGTTACTATTTTAGTTGTATTGGCTGAAGTTACTGATGATCAATTTACCTTTTTCATATAATTTTTTTATTTAATTGATAAAATATAGTTTAGATATTGTTTTTCATAAATGAGCAAAATAAGCCGTTTCAACAAATTACTCTGTGAAATTTAAAAATTAAATTGATTGCAATAATTACTTTTGTGAGAATAAAACATAGATACCCTTACATAGTTGGAATTGTGATTTGTGAGTTTTAATTTGATTCAAATATTGAATAATTTAAAGTTTTTTTGTAAATTAAGTTTTTATTTATGAATAATTTACATGTTCACTAAGATTATTCCATACAAAATTTGGTAAAATTTGTATGGTTCTAAATCATTTTTACTTTATTCTTACGTTATCAATTTAATAACAACCACATATATTCATTGATAGAGTTATTGAGAAAAATGAATATGTGTGGTTGTTATTAAATTGATAACGTAAGAATAAATTAAGAACGGTGTGGAACTATACAAATTTTACCAAATTTTGTATGGAATAATCATGTCCACCGACCTGTATGGGAGTACGAGAGAACTTCTCATGATTAACTATCAGACTTCCATGATCCAAATGAGTCTTAACTTTACATTGCATCTAAGGTTCCCTTTGGTAGTCAAATTTGGCTTATTGTTCCAATAAACAGAGTCAGATACTTTTGACTTATTCATTTGGCTGAAATGGATTACAAAACGTTTGTCTTTCAAATAATTATCAGCGACCATTTCATCCGAATACATCTTGCCGACTCTGTAATACCACCTAGTGAAGTCAAATGTGATGCCTCCTTGACAATGAACTTCAGATACATGCATATATAAAGAAGAATGAAAGCATTGTATTCTAATAACTACAAATTCTACGATATGAATAATGTACTAAATCCTAATATTTAAAAAAGAATCACATGATAACTCCTACCAAACCAAACTAGTTCAAACTAAACAAGTTAATTCAGAAAAGAAAAGAACACAAAAGAGGACAGCCTAAACGATGAGCAATTGCACTGTTGGAGAAGCAGCCTGCCCTTGCAATTGTTGATGGATTTCTTGTGATTTGCTCTCATCAAATTTCGAAGTACGCTGTGATTCTCCACACCAACTGAGCTCTTGGTAACCTTTGCTCTTATTAAATATTGCAGTATAGCAAGAATCCCTTCTTAAAACCATCCTCTGGAGAGCCAAAGCACTTTTCAGGATATACAATACCACAGAAATCTCATTCTCAAAGCCATAGAACCCACCAAATTCTACTTCTTTTAGATGAAGATGAAGATGACTTCTGGGAGATAGGCTCCTTGCACCAAGTGGCCTGGGTGGTGTTCTTCTCTCCCTCCCCACGAAATGCATTATCTGAAGCAGTGGACAGTGGATGATTAAATCAGCAACCTGGGTCGCATCAAAGAAGTCATTAAACTCCATTCGTATGTCAAGCTGCCTCAAACGGCTAAATGTGGGCACCTCAAGCGGCAAACCATGTGCCACATGGCTTGTGTGCGACCACGACTCAACACAAAAAGATTCAACCTGAGAACGATCCTGTGCTACCCAGCTGATGATGTGAAGCAAATGACCATTGTATACTACCTCCAAGCTCACATGTTGGAGCTTGGGGAGATAGGAAGGATGAGAGAACTTCAATGCTAAATCACTATATACACCAAGTTTCAAGGTCACAAGGTTTTCAGCACACAAATATATCTCCTCCACCTCCTTCCCACTACAATTGGAAATGGTTAATGACTTCAACTCCAGATGTTCTCCTTCGCCAACGATCACCTTAGAAGAAAGACGGCAATACTCCAACGATAGAGACTCAAGCTTCGGGCATGATGACAATATGCTCTGCACGTCAACTGAATCTATAAGAATCAACTCTATGGATTTTAGATATTTGAGCTGTTGTTGGGGATTGAAGGGTTCTAATTTCATATTGGATGCGATCAAACGCAGAAACGTGAGCCTGGGTGTTGCTGCTTTGCATACAAGCTTCTGAAGCGGGATTGTGATCTTTTCGCCTGGATAACACAACTTCAGCGTAAGCTCTTCCACACCCAATCCAGCAAGGTGATGCACCCATCGCTCAATGTGGCATGTGAAATCTGTCTTGACACAGAATGACAGCCTGAAAGATTTGATCTTTTCACAGCCAGCTCTTTTATGGATTTGAAAAAACCTATCCATGACAGTCAGAATCTTGTACTCAGCAGTACACCTACACCGGCAAAAAGGAAACATCGCCACGCATGGGCAGCCAAAAGAATAATTTGGCAGAAAAAGATAGAGGTTTCTCCATCGACTACACAATACGCTAGTTCTAACCGCATCTTTTGTATCCAGTCGTGAGAGGATGGAGCACAGAATATCATTTGGCATTGCACTTATTCGGTCCTCTACCTCCTTCTTATCCTCCTTCTTGAACTCCTTAACCCCCTTCTTAGACTCCTCCTTATGCAGGCGTAGATATGAAGAAACTGCAGTTCCAATTCCAAGTCCCAATCCTGTGAGGACCATTAAGGCAAAAACCAACCCAAGCTGCGGGAACCATATTCCAAACTTATCGCCATTACTGCTCGGCATGATCCTATTTTGTTCTTTTAATTTGTGAGATCAAGAAAACCCCGTAATTAACTATACATCCGCTGCAGGCAAAGGATCCAAAGTAAGATAGAAGTACTTCTCCTGGTCACAGACGCCAGGTAAAAACTAAAAAGAAAGCAAACAATATTTATACGATGCCGGCCATGGGACAATTTACCTACACAATTGTGTGCAGGGCCCCTAAATTTTAGGAGCCTCTAAATTCTAAAACAAGCCCATTAGTATTATACCACGTGTATGTATACTTAATCTAATTTTTTATTGTAAATAAATAAAATTTTAATTCCAAAGTCAATATTCGTGAAAGGATTAATTGACGGGGCTAACCTTGATGGAGCAGGCGGCTATAATATTGGAAACTTCAAATATTCAATGAAGGACGGTTGAGTTCTTGGTTTTCCTCCTAAATTTACCACACCGAAATCTTAACCATCTTATAAGACATTTTACTAGTCTCCTCAGCGCACTTCACGGTTGGTGGTTTGGGTGGTTTGATGGGCATTCAATTTCATCTGCTCCACTTCTTCAATAACTAAAAATGATGTTACACGGAATCATCATCTTCACTTATGGAAGAAGGCCGAGCAGATGAACTTATAACTATGAAATTCATCCAGGTGGGTGCAATTTTTTTAGTATTATAGCATATGGAATATGGATCAAGAGTACTAAATAAACTGAACTTGTTGTTCTTTAGTTTTATTAACATAAGGGCTTGAAATTCAATAGAGTGAATTTCAGCCCTGATTACTCCAGACCCCCCAGACCCCCCGGAGTAAACAAAAAAACAGAATCACTTAATAGTTGATTATAACATTGTTTAAAATGCATATTCTAATTTATTGAGTATGTCCTATTTTTGAACTAATTATCTAAAAATGCTTTCAATCTATATTTTCCAATAACGAGAACATGTTTTTTATAACTCTCAGTTGCATCCAGTTTGAATTAGGGGGTGTTTGGTTCTGATTCTTAAAACTGCTTCTGCTCCTTTAGGGAGCAGAAGCAGAAGTTGGAGTGTTTGGGTGAAAGTGAAGAAGTGATTCTGGTGCTCTAATTTACTTCTAGAATCAGTTTTTTAGGAGCTGGGGGAGACCAGCTTCAGAAAACTGATTCTGATTCTGCTTCTGTTTTAAAAAAGAAGTAGAAGCAGAATCGATTCCAAACACCCCCTTAATCTATTTTTACCTAAACCAAAAGAAAATGTTCAATGCCTATTTTTATTCATTTAATTTATCTATGCCTTGCTGTTTTTTTAAGGGGAAAATAATTTAAATATCCCAAACTTTGAAAGGGTGTGAGGTTAGCACCCCAAACTTACATGTGTAATATATATATCCCGAACTTTACATAAAAAGTTATGTTAGCACTTAGCACCATTACTATGTACATTTTTATTCAAAAATGTAAACTTATTGTATTAAGCACATGGTTTAAAATATGAAGACATTTATAGAGGTGTAAGCATAATAAATTTACATTATTGTGAAGAAAAAAACATATGTTGATGGTACTAATATTACTTTTTATATAAAGTTCGGGGTATAAATATTACATATGAAATTTTGGAGTGCTTACATCACACTTATTCAAAGTTTGAGGTATTTAAATTATTTTTCCCTTTTTTAAAACTAACTACACATTTTTGTAATTTATTTATCTAAAAATGAGTGGAGTCAATTTTTTAAGATATTAGTTCTTCTAGGTCTTAGGAATTTTCAAATAGAGTCTTTTGATCTCTTTCTCTAAGAAAAAGAGTTTAGAATATATTTTTTTATCACATTCCGATTTTAATGAAGGCGATGATGGCGACAATAAATTGCATATTGTGATTGGTAGCCATCAATTTATTTTTCATTAGATTGAGTTATTGAAGGTATGTATATCTGATCTTATTAAGTAAAATAAGTAGTATTGAATGACGAAAAGTTACATGCTTTAAATTTAGACTTAGAAGATCAGATGAATAAAATCTATAAAAAGATTCTCATCACATCTAGAGGTAGCTATAATCGAAACATATATAAAACATATGCAATGAAAAATAAAAAGACAAACACCCTCATATTCAGAAACGAAAATTGATCTCAATTTTCATGACCAAATAGTATTATATTAAAGTTACGTCCATAAGTAAAAGAATCACTCCATACATTTTATGTACAGTCTAGCTTATTTATCTAGCTCTTAAACACTACTTTTAGTGTCCCAATATGATTATTATATATGTAATTAATAAAACTTTTCAAACACTGAAACTCTCTGCCAAAATATATATCAAGATTATATTAATATACGAAGTATGCACTAAAGTAAAAATAACTTTTACTTGCATAAATCAGATCAAAAAAATGATTCCAATGAAAATATCCTTAATTAGAAACGTGAACATAAATTTGAGATAGCATTAAGACAAATTTGTATTTAGTAAGTTTTATCATATGCAATCTTGCTATTTTAATTTTTCTCACTTTCATTTTATGATGTTTCACTCTTTTTTTTCATTTTAGAAATGAGTTGGAACTTATTAGAATTTTTTTTAAAATTTTATTGAAATGATTTGGCGTGCACTGGATAAAATGATTTTGTTGTTTAGGTTTATTAATAGAAAATCACGTATTTAGTCGATTATAATATTGGTTTAAAATGCATATTCTAATTTTATTGAGTACTCCCTCCGTCCCATTTATTTTGTCCCGTTTTACCTTTTTGGGAAGTCCCACTTATATTGTCCATTTGTCTCATACCATATTTGGCAAAGTTTGTGTGACTCTAAATCATTCTTACTTTATTCTTACTTTATCAATTAATATCAACCACACAAACCCACTTTTCTTAATAACCGTGCCACCCTCTTCCGGGACAATATAAATGGGACAAAGGGAGTATGTCTTATTTTTGAACTAATTATCTAAACATTTTCCAGCCTATATTTTTCAATAAAAAGAGCATATTTTTTAGGAAAAATTCCCTACATAGGGGTACAAAAGTTTTGAAATTCCAAAATAGGACCGCAATATTTTTATTCTCAAAATAGAAGTAATTTCTGTCATGTTTGACATTATCAACCTTTAAACATGGTTGCCAAGTTTTTTCCAAACTTGGCAAAAATTATTCTTATTTAAAGAATAAAAACATGAAGGTCTTATTTTGGAATTTCAAAACGTTTTTACACCTATTCAGGGCAATTTCACTTTTTTTATAACTCTAGCCATCTCAATTGCTTCCAATTCAAATTAATCAATTTTTACCTAAACAAAAAGAAAATGCTCAATGTTTATTTTTATCCATTAAATTTCATTCGTGATTTACTGTTTTTTTAACTAACTACACCTATATGTAACTTATTTATCTAAAAATGGATGTAGTCGATTTTTTAAGATAATAGTCCTTCTAGGTTTTAGAAATTTTCAAATTAGTCTTTTGATTTCTTTCTTTATGAAAAGAGTTTAGAATATATAGTTTTGTGACATTCAAATTTTAATGAAGGAGATGACAGAGACAATATGATGCATATTGTGAATCACTGCGATCGATTTATCTTTCATGAGATTGAGCTATGATATTGAAGGTTTTTTTTTAAAGAAAAACACTCATTTATTAAATAATGATAAAGAAGGTAACAATAATAGACAAATCAGAGCAATACCTCAGAGCCACCCTGGAGTGAGACATAGAACTAACTAGCTCCAGAAGACCATGCCAGATCGCCAACTCCACATAATGGTATGTTATTCTAACAACATTAATGTACTTGCTACTAAGACAAATGGATAAAAAAAACTAGAGTTCAAAGACCGAAAGGAAAAAATAGAGTCATAAATACTGGTTTTACCAGCCACCAGCAAGGGAGAAGAGGTTTGATCGACCGCCTTCAATTCTCCAAAGATGTCATTCCGATTTGACCAGCCATCGGGAAGGGATCAAAAGAACTCTTGAACATCTCGGTTTGTTCAGCCACCGGTAAGGAGCTAACTATACAATTTGTTCTGGTTTCACCAGCCACCAGAAAGTCTTTGCTGCTGCTGCTACTACTACTACTATTTAAATATTTTTTGGAAAAAAAACTAGTTATGTCATAGATTGGGAAAGTGAGATAGTTTTAGTCATACCTAGGGTAATTGTCTCTAATTTCTAATAGATTTATTTTATCAATAAGAAAAACATAGTTTTTGTTGTAAAATCTAGGAATTGACAAGTGTGAATTGTTCATCCTTGTCATTAGGACACCAAATTATTCATCATCCTAGTAATGATCCTTGTAACCTAGGTAGAAAATGTGGCTCAATTTGTTATTGCCACCAAATTTGTAGACTCATCATTTATGTGACTAATCATCAAGCCTAAACACTATAAATAGGAGCTTGAAGAAGTCTTGTAAATTCATTTAGAAAATCTTAATATTAAGAAGAAGTAATTTAGAGGTTTTTATCTATATATTTATCTCTTGAATTTAGTCTGCATCTTCTTCATTTTACAACACGTTATCAGCACGAATCTGCTCAAAACTCTCCAAGAAATCAGCTCATATTCTTCACCAACCATCATCGCCTGCAGATATGGATCACTCAAGTGATAAAGAATTATGTCTGATAGACAGCGCTACAACGCACACCATTTTGAGAAATAAAATATATTTTTCTCAAATGACTTTAGTTGAAGCTAAAGTCAATACTATATCAGGTGTTGCGAAGCTCATTGAAGGCTCTGGGAAAGTATATGTGCTGCTCCCTAACGGGAATAAAATAATTATAAATGACACTTTATACTCCAGCAAATCACGAAGGAATTTGTTAAGTTTTAAAGATATGCGTCAAAATGGTTGTCACATAGAAACCATGAATGAAAACTAAAAGGAATATCTTTGTCTAACGACAACTAAATCTGGCACTAAATATATTTGTGAAAAAATGTCAGCTTATTCCTCAGGACTATATTTCACATATATTAGTCCATTTGAAATAAATTTGATATCTAACACAAACTTAGATGATCAGCAAACATTCATGTTGTGGCATGACCGTTTAGGTCACCCAACGCCAAAAGGCGTAAAACCAGTGGGTTTCAAATGGGTATTTGTGTGTAAACGCAATGAGAAAAATGAAATCGTAAGATATGAAGCCCGACTTATTGCCCAAGGTTTTTCTCAAATGTCGGCGATTGATTATGAAGAAACCTATTCTCCGGTAGTTGATGCAACTACATTAAGGTTTCTCATTGCTATGTCTGTTTTTGAAAGGCTGCAAATGCGCCTAATGGATGTAGTGACTGCATATTTATATGGTTCACTTGATACAGACATTTATATGAAAGTTCCCGGTGGATTCAAAATGTCTGAAGCTTATAGCTCGAAACCTCAAGACATGTTTTCCATTAAATTACAAAAGTCATTGTATGGACTAAAACAATCTGGACGAATATGGTATAATCGTCTCAGTGAATACTTTCTAAAAGAAGGATGTAAGAATGGTCCAATTGGTCCATGTGTTTTCATTTGGCAATCAAATTCGGGATTCGCCATAATTGTAGTTTATGTTGATGATTTAAACATTATTGGAACTCCCGATGAAATTGAAAATACTGCAAATTATCTTATGAAAGAATTTGAAATGAAAGATCCCGGGTGAACCAAATTTTGTCTCGGACTTCAAATTGAGCATTTGAAGAATGGAATTTTCATCTACCAATCCAATTACATCGAGAAAGTGTTGAAGAGATTCTATATGGACAAAGCTCATCCTTTGACTTCACCAATGGTGGTTCGTTCTCTCAAC